AAAAAAACACATATTGTGTGTATATTAGGCCATATGGTTTTTGTTTTGTTTGTGTAGTGCTAGGGATTGAACCCAGGGCCTTGCACATGCAAGGCAAGAGCTCTACCACTGAGCCACATCCCCAGCTCACAATTTTTGTTTTCTGAGACAGTAGCAGTTCAGGCTGGTCTGAACTCACACGGGTCCTCCTGCCTCAGCGTCCCTAAACGCTGAGATTACAGGCATGTGCTACCACACCTGGATTAGGCGGTATAATTTCGACATCTTCAGTTACTAGTTATCAGTTCCTTGAGAGCTTGGGCCATATGTCAGTCACCCGGGGCCTGACACAGTAGGTACTTAAACGTTTACTCACAACACGAACCCGTGAGCTGTCCCGTGGCACAAGGGTAGACCGCGTGCTCAGCCAGTGCGGGGTCCTGGGTTCGAACCCCAGCACTGAAGGAAAGATGCTCATGCGATATTGATCTGCCTTAGCCTGGGCACTATTGGCAATTTAGTGAGAGCCTGTCGCAAAATAGAAAAGGCTAGGGGTTTAACTCATTGCACAGGCCCAGGGCTCCGGCCCCAGGACCACCGGGGCGGGGGGACACCGCTAAGGGCGGCCGGCTGTGCCCGGGGCACACACGGCTGCCGATACCCTTGCAAACGTCTTCCCTTTCCCGCGCTGACCTAGGTCCGCTCAGCTTTGCCCCAGGGTCTGTCCCGCAGCCACGCCGGCCCAGCTTGAGGCTCGGCAGTCAGAGCTGCCGGCAGAGGGAGTCTAGATTCTGCTCTCGAGCCAGCAAGTGAGCAGGGACCACCCGGGGCCGCCAGCGTGTCCTCCGCCCCTTTTGGACTCCCAACACACACTGCCAAGCCCTCGGCCGTGGGGCCGCAGTCCCGCACGGGCCCAGCAGGGGGCGCGCAAGCGCGCTCTTCGGGAGGGCGGGGCCGCAGGAAGGGGCGGGGCTTCGCGCTCGGCATTTCCTGTTCCGGCGCCAGGAGGCGGGCGCGCTGCTTGTGCCGCGCTGCCGTCAGTCAGGCTGCGCCCGCTTCCTCCGCATCCAGCTCCCTGGGGCCCGTCGCCGTCGCCGCGCTCGGATCCTGCCAGGTGAGGCCGCCGCAGTGCTGAGGGGTGCCCGGGGCTGGGCGGGGAGTCGCGGGCCGGGCGGGG